TATTTCAAATAAATAAAATAAATCTTTCAAAAAATTTCTACTCACATAATTACAAATTACAACTAATTCAACAACTTAAAACAATACAAATTCACAACTTAACCATTTTAACATAACTGTGGGTGAGCTTTGCTCTCTTCTCTGTTCTGTGTCTCACAAAACTAAAATCAAGCCATCATCCAGGCTAGACTTTTATCTGAAGGCTCAAGGGAAGACTCTATTTCCAAGACCAATCAGTTGTAGGCAAAATTCAGTTGCTTGTGGTTTTGGGATTGAGGTTCCCATTTTTCCTGACATATGATCCCATCATCTTTCAGCGGACAATGACACATTGAATCCTTGTTTTACTAAATATGTCTGACTACCCATTCTGGATCTATTCTAAATACCAGCCAGAAAAAGGTCTCTACTTTTATGGGATCCTGTAATTAGAGTGGGCCCATGTGGATAATCCAAGATAATCTCCATGTTTTTAATGTCCATAGCATTAATTATGTTTGAAAATAGCCCTTTGCTGCATAATGTAATGTATTTACAGAGTCCATAGGGTAGTATATAGACATCTTTGGGCAGTCATAACAATAGCATGAAAAGAGTAAAATATGAGGGTAAGTATTTGGCTTAGCAGTTAACATGTTATTTGTGATGTCTTCATCCCAATATGAAAGTGCCTGTGTTCAAGTCCCGGCTCTGCTTATGATTCCAAATTCCTACTAATGTGCACCCTGAGGGGGGTAGCAGGTAGTAACTCAAAATAGTAGGGTTCCTCCACCCACATGGAATATCCTGATTGATTCTTGGCTCCTGGCTTTGGCCTGACCCATCTCTAGCTCTTGTGGATATTTGAGAAGTGAACCATAGAAAAGACCCTTCTATCTCTCCTTTTGAAATAAGTAAAAAATTTAAAAAATCATAGTTAAAAATATCATGAATTGTTTAATTTCAATTTTCACAACCTGAGGTGAATTCATTATCATCTCCCTTTCACATATCAAAGAATTGAGACTCAAGAGTTTCATAGTAGACATGCACAGCTCCAAAGCTGGTACTGTTTATATGACCCCACTCCCATTACTAATAGTTTTTTTATAATTATAATGTTTTTTATAATTAGTTCTTTTCATTTTAGGAGGAAAAAACTTTCTCTTCCAACTAAATATTCCTTAGAGAAGGACTTTAGCATTATAGGCATTATTTAATTTAATTGAGCCTAATTAGAAGGTATAAATAGCCAAGAGACATCCATGCTAGTAATCAGTAAAGGCCTAGTAACTGTAAATAATTAATCAATAAAGAGTTTAATACTGAGCTGAGAAATACATGGAAGGAGGTCTAAATTTCATTCAGATTAAGTGCTTTAAGGTTTCTGAGCATCAGTGTGTAAATGGAAATGCAGGGGCTGGCGTTGTGGCAGTAATGGGAAAAGCTGCCACCTGCAACCCCATCATCCCATATGGGCTCCCGTTCGCTTCCTGGCTGCTACACTTTCCAATCCAGCTTTCTGTTGATGGCCTGGGAAAGGTATCGGAAGATGACCCAAGCGTTTGGGCCCCTGCTGCCCACGGGAGACCCAGATGATGCTCCTGGCTCCTGGCTTTGGCCTGGCCCCGCCCTGGCTGTTGCAGCCATCTGGAGAGTAAATCAGAAGATAGAAGATCTCCTCTCTTTCAGTAACTCTGACTTGCAAACTAGTAAATAAATAAATCTTTTTAAAAAATACAATGTTAAGGTAAAGCCCATTTTACATGAAATTCCCATATACTCTGAATAAGCATATAGGGCTGCTAGAAACTTTTTAAAGAAATGTTTATTTTTATTTATTTGAAAGGCAGAAAGAGAGAGAGAGAGAGAGATTTTTTGTATACTAGATCATTCTCCAAATGCCCACAATAGCTAGGGCTAGGCCAGGCTAAAACCAGTATCCAGTAACTCCATCCAGGTCTCCCATGTGGGTGACAGAGACTCAAGGACTTGAGCCATCACCCGCTGCCTCCCATGCATCCAGGCATCCAGGAAGCTAGGTTGGAAGCAGAGGTGGGACTTGATCCCAGGCACTCTTAGCGGATGAGGTCATCCCAAGCATCACAGTGCCTATGCTGGGTGCTTTTAACTCAGCTGAATCCTGTTCCTGTTACCTACTAGGAAGATTTCCAAAGACAGTTGCAGTTATTTGTTGGAAATTTAATAAAATCCTAAATAAGTAGTATAACTATGAGTGATGACACCTGGAGTAATTATAACTCATTTTCCCAGTACATGCAAAAAGGTAGAACTGTTGTTAATTGTCTCCCTGGGGTTTGAAAGCTGTTTGGTGTTTGCAGACTTTGCAGATTAAAAAGCACCAACGTATAATCATTTTTCTTCTCTGGACAAATCCTTGCAATTTTTATTTTAGGATGATGCGTTTTTTTCATGACACTTTGTTATTCATTACCTTAGAACATTTTAGTATAACATTGTTCAGTAAATATTTATTGAATTTCTACTATTTGACAAATAACATAGTATGTGCTAACTGGGGTCCTCCTCATATGCTATGTATGTTACAGTGAGAGAGACAGCCTTCACAAGTGAATTAATTTATAATTAAAGTTACAAGGCTTACCATGTTGGAAAAGTACCAGTATGTAAGTATCTGGCTTGTCTTTCTATCCACAAAGCCAAATGATCTTTTGATTTAAATTCAACATAATAGGATCTGAATTTGTACACTATATGAGTACTGTTAGGAAACAGGCCATAGATTCTAGCCTAGAATATTCTAGCCTAGAAATATGCTTGGAATTAAAATAATGGAAAGTGGAGTATTATATACTGCTCTAGGCATTAAAAGTTTGGCACTAACATATAAATGTGATTTCTATAACTTTTATCCAAAGAGCGATTTGTTTTTGTTTTTGCATTCTGAAAAATATTTTTAATTCACTGTTGGTTGAATCCAAAGATGCAGAAACTATGGATTTGAGGACTTAGTATAAAATAATTTTATTGCCTTTTATTTTTGGAGAAAAAAACTTCATTTCATAAAATAAACACAAATTTCTTTAATCATCCTTGTATTTTTTAAAAGCAACCTATTTTAACATATAGAAAAGTCATTTTCTTCTGAAACTAGAGCTCTCTGTGTCAAAGGGCAGATGAATGGCCAAAGATTGCTGGCTGTCATCCCAGCTGAGTTCCTCTTTAAGGAACTGAACTTAGTCAGTTGTGAAATTACCTTCATAGAAACTCCAACTGAATAAAGCTCTACTTTTCTATATTTTTCAGAATGCATCTGTACTGAATATGGAAAGGTTTTTTTCAGTACTCACTATTCATATAGAATTTACATTGATATAAGCATTATAAATAACTTAGAAATATTTTAAAGAATATAGAAAAGAGTGCATAGGTTATATGCAGATTTGACTTTTATTCAAAGGCCTTGAGCATCCACGAACTTGATTATCCTTAGGGTCCTGGAAGCTGTCCCCCTGAGTGCAGAGGGACAATGGTATCTGTGCTTTAAAAACAATTGCAGTGTAACCAACAGTGAGGTAGATGGCATTCCATATAACTACATAAATGGTATGTGTGGAAGCCCATTGCTGATTTCTTTTTCTCTAAAGATTTTTTTATTTATTTGAAAGTGAGAGTTACAGAAAGACACACAAACACACACACAGAGAGCGAGAGAGAGCGAGAGCGAGAATGAGAGATCGATCTTTCATGTGCTCTTTCACTCCCCAAATGGCAGCAGCAGCTGGGGCTGAGCCAAGCCAAAGCCAGGAGCCTGGAACTCCATCCGGGTCTCCTGCATGGATGAAGGCTCCGAAGAACTTAGACCATCTTCTGCTGCTTTCCCAGGTGGGTTAGCAGGGAAGTGAATCAGAAACAGAGTAGTCTATACTCAAATGGAATGAGCCAGAGCACACGTGGGATGCTGCTGTCATAGGTGGTGGCTTAACTTGCTGCACCACAACGCCAACCACTCCATTGCTTATTTCTAACTAGAATGGAAAACTGCAGTTTATCGCTTTAAGGAAATGTAATAATTTTCCTTTAAAATCACATGTATTACTGAATGCACAGTTTCAAAGCAATAAGGATCCTCTCTTTGAGTTATGTTTTAGAATATAATTCTACTTACAGTCAGATCTTTTTTGTTTTATATATATATTTTTTTTTGACAGGCAGAGTGGACAGTGAGAGAGACAGAGAGAGAAAGGTCTTCCTTTGCCGTTGGTTCACCCTCCAATGGCCGCCGCTGCAGCCGGTGCACCGCGCTGATCCGATGGCAGGAGCCAGGAGCCAGGTGCTTTTCCTGGTCTCCCATGGGGTGCAGGGCCCAAGCACCTGGGCCATCCTCCACTGCACTCCCTGGCCATAGCAGAGAGCTGGCCTGGAAGAGGGGCAACCGGGACAGAATCCGGCGCCCCAACCGGGACTAGAACCCGGTGTGCCGGCGCCGCAAGGTGGAGGATTAGCCTATTGAGCCACGGCGCCGGCTTTGTTTTATATTTTATAGTGGTGAAGACCAAGTGATTTTCATTCTTTTCATATTTGAATAATCTTCTTATATTTAGTTATGAATTAATTTATTCTGAGTTATACAGTCTGAACTTTAATAAAATTTCCTCACAGATTTTACATAATAGATTCTTATTTTTAGTCATTTTAATCATATTTATTTTTTCTTGGATATACATCTGTTTTGCATTTATCTTGAAGTGTAGAAATGTAAGCTTGGAAAAATTATAAAGGTATATATATTCTTTCTGGCTTTTTCAGTGAATATTTGTGTGTATTAGCAAGACTTTATAATGTCTTTTTGAATAAGAAAACTGTATATGTTTGTTTAGTTTTAACCTGATTTACACTCTTTGTCTTTCATAGTTGCTAGTTTTTTTTGTCATTGATATAATTTTTATATAAATTGAAGTTCTTTATTTTATGTACATGGAGGTAGCATGACTTCCCATAGTGCTGATGTATTGAAGAATCCATTCAAGGAAAATGAATTAGTCCAATTTAACAAAGTTGATATCCTTCACATACTGATGGGAACACTGGCGGCACACTTTGAACCCATATTTCCGGTTCAGACCTTGTGGATTTGTGCAGATGCGGCAAGAGTGGGAACCCTGGCCAGATTTTTGCAGGTGGCTCCAGTAGGGCTGCTGGTGACCCATCTTGCTTTCAGAGTGCAACGAGGGAAAAAGCATAATTGTTGTTTTGTTCCTAAATAGTCCTCACTGAGTTTCCTTCTATTTTCCATGAAATATTTCCATACACTAAGGATAGTTAAAATGCCATTATATTCAAATATTGCTTAAAATTTTAAGTGGGTGATCAGATTAGCATTCAGCACTTTGATTTTTAAAAGCATTATAAACTAAAAATACTGATTAAGTATAATTAATTGTGTTTTTAATAAATAAAATGTATTTTGGAGGTATTTAATAGAATATTAAAAATGTATTTTGGAGGTATTTAATAGAATATTAAGAATTATTCAAATTAGACAAATCCTAAATCCACTATCAAAAAACTTATATTAGAGAAGGTACATTTTATACCAATCAGTTGCTGTAAGATTTCAAAAAGATTACTTCTTATTAGAATGGGATTTCGGATAATTTCTTGGAAAGGTTGTGATTTGAGCCAGATTTCAAAGAATAAGTTGCATTTCTATAAAATGACATAGTGTCAATCATAGAGAACTTCAATAGTTTATGATAAGTTTAGAAAAACATATGATGTGCAAGAGAAATATGAGTGATCTCATTTAAAGATTATGTTTTTGAGTTTTTCTTGAGCAATTGGAACTCTTTTAATATTTGGCAGAATAGTGAGGGGGGCAGAGATAGGAGAAGTTATGGTATGCTCAAGGAACTACATTATGTTCAGTGTAACTGAAAGAGAGTCCAAGGGATAGAGGGAGAGATAAGCCTGGAGACTTGGACATGTAATACACTGAAAGTTAAGGTAAAGAGCTTGTAATTTACCCTAAAACTATTTATATGTGCACCAAAGTGCAGAAGACAAGAGACAGGGAGAACCTGCTAGAGAGCTTTTCAGTGATCTTTCAGCAAGTAAGTGCTGGGACAGGCACTGGGTGTTGCAGATTGAGCTGCCACATGGAACATTCTTATCCCGTATTGGAATGCTACTGGAATTACTTGCTTCTGATCCAGCTCCCTGCTAATGCACCTAGGAAGGAAGTGGACAATGGCCTAAGTACTTGGGTCTCTGACACCCACAAAGAGGACCCAGATGGAGTTCCAGGCTCCTGGACTCATCTGGACAGCCCCGGCTGTTGCAGGTACTTGGAGAGTGAACCAGCAGATGGAAAAATCAATCTTTCTTCTCTCTCTCTCTCTCTCTCTCTCTCTCCCTCTCTTTTTTTTCTTTATTTCCTTTTTCTCTCTCCCCCTCCTTCCCTTTCTCTTTTCCCCTCTCTCTGTCACTCCACCTCTCAAATAAATAAATCTTTTGAAAACAAAGACCTGAACTAATATTGAGGAAGGAGAAATGTGGATGAATTCTGTAGAAACAATCAATAAGACTAGGTGATAGGTTATAAATGAGGGAGACAGGAGACCAAAGCTGATTTCTGAAAATCTAGGTTGAGTAACTTGGTAGTCAAGTATTGTATTATTTATAGAGATGGGGGAACCAGATGAGGAGCAATGAGAACAATGAGGTTCCTTTGAACACAAACGTCCATCTCTTTAAGTACTTACTATGAACCAGTCACTTGGCTAAATGCCCCATATGCATTATCTTTATGTATTTATTTTCAACACATTGTCTCATTTAACTCTCAGTAAATATTATCTATTAAGATGTAAAGAGGTTTATATCATCAGGGTTAAACTAGAATGTATGTGGTAGAATTTGAAAGCAGCAACAATAGAGAAGCAAAGAGAAAAAAGTGCTCATTCAGCAGCTGGCAAACTATAAACCATAGGCCAAACTCAGCCTGATAGATTTTTCTGTTTTTTCTTATTTTGCTTGATAAATAAAGTTTTATTAGAATGTGCCCAAGTTTACTTCTAATGTATTATCTGTGGTTATTTTTATGCTACACTGGCTCAGATGAGTGGTGAGTGTCTGCTGGTCAAAGAAACCAAAGACCAGCAAATCCTAAATGATTTACCATCTGGCCCTTTAATGAAAAAAATTGCCCCTTTCTATTCTAGTTGATGTAATTAGGGATCCTAACATGATTTTATTCTCTAAGATGAGGTAAGTATTTATATATTTGAACTTAAAGGGGAAGGAATATTATACATACAGGAGAGGAAATGACTTAAGTGTGGAATAATTTTTAAATCTCAAAATATTATAAAGAACTCTAAATGTCATTTAACCCAGCCAACCTTCGACTTCATGCTTAATATTAAGTTTTGTCCAAGCTCCAAAAGAATTTCTCTTCTTAGCCTAGAGAATCACATCAAGATTCTCCAGTCTGGAGGCCTTCCTCTGTTGTGAGAAAGTGGGCGCTCTCTCATTTTTGGTTCACTGAAAATGCTTCCTCTCACTTTTGATATTTTGGTTTTTTATTTTTTTATTATTATGGCACACTATTTAAGAATGTAAAACAAAGACAATAATTTAAATACTCATACCTTAAAAGAAAAATTATTTGAAGTGAGTGTTCATTAGCATTTGTATGCTTAATCCAGGATGCTATTAGAAGACTCTTGTTTCTTACTCCATAATCTGGAACTTCTCTGTGAGCCTCATCTGTGCAGGGTGGGAAATTCTGCTCCTTGTGGATAGCTGTAGTTTAATATTGGCTGCCATTATTGATTTTAATGAATATCAGATTATTTTAGTGAAATAATCATCAATGTCTTGGTATATATTTATTCACAAGAGTTGCTACAAGGTTATGAAACATTTTATCCATAACAAAGAAAAAGCTACAAGCTTTTGCTTTCTTAAAGTATTTCCTACTCTAGCTATTCTGATCTTTTACATTGATTCTGATTCTAGGACTTAGAATCTTATGGTTTGGAAATAAAGATTAGCATCAAAGGACCATTTTACCTATTAGTAAAGAAGTTTAGGAAAAGAGAATAGAGGGAGTAGAATTTAAACCAGGCTGTTGGTCTACTTGATAACAGATTCCTGTGTGTGTGATGTGATGATTTTTGTATGTGTGATGATATTCTGAGCTTTTTCATTTGCCAGTCCCTATTTTATTTTATTTATTTTTAAATCTTTGTTTATTTCCATCTACTTGAGAAAGACAGAGATCTTCCATCCATTGGTTCACTCCTCAATGCCCACATTAGCTAGACTAGGGCCAAACCAACATCAGGAGCGTGGAACTCCATTTGAATGTCCCATGGAGATGCATGGTCCTAAGCACTTAGACCATCATCTAATGCCTCCCAGGATACATTAGCGAAGAGCTGGATTGGAAGTAGTGTACCTGGGACTTGAAGTGGCACTGTGTTATAAGACGTGGGCATGCCAAATGGCATTTTAACTTAATGCACCACAGGTCAAATCCAGTCCACCTTTTGTTTAAAAATTTTAAGGAGCACATAGGGCTAAAATCAAGTTCAGGCATAATGATAATATATCATCTTGATATTTGTTTAGTGGCATATTTATTTGGGGGAAAATGTTTTATTTCTTAAGCCAAATGAAACAGAGATAAGAAGCAGGAGGAGAAATAAGTGATATTTGTTGCCATTCCAGCTATGTTCTGGGTACTCTGCAAGCACTTTCTAACTTATTAAGTTTTGATTCCCATATTTGCTCTTTGAAATAGGGATTACAACCTCTGACTTTCATGTTTTACATGAGGAAATCGAAAAAAGCTATAAAAAGAAGGGTGGTGGGGGAAGAAGAAAACACAAGAAATGATTTTGTGAGGCAAGCAATTTTCTGTTGGTCTCCACTTTCTCTTCTCTTTGAATGGACAACTTTGTGTATCTGATCTCCTTTAAGTGTTTTCAGATTTTCACACTTTTCTCAGGAAGTAATTGACTAACTCTTTTTAATTAAGATGTAGGACAGGGACTGGTGGTGTGGTGCAGAGAGTTAAAGCTCTGCACAAGACACTGGCATTCCACACTAGAGTGCTGGTTTGGGTTCTGACTGCTCTGCTTCTGATCCAGCTTCTTACTCTTGTGCTGGGAAAGCAGTAGAAGATGGACTAAGTGTTTGGGCCCCTGCCTCCCATGTTGGAGACCCAGATGGAACTCTGGACTCCTGGCTTCGGTTTGACCCACTTTGAGCTGTTGTGGCCATTTGGGGTCTGAACCAACAGATGAAAGATGTTTCTCTGTGTGTCTCTTCTCCTTTCTCTGTCAATCTACCTTTCAAATAAATAAAATGAGTGTTTTTTAAAGGTAAAGAATAGTTGGAAATGCTTATAAACTTTATTTGTGAGACTCTAGGCATCAACAAGTGGAGGTAGAAATTTAGCAAGGCAGAGTGTCTGACTATTTATCCAGAATCACCCCTGTGATGGTTGTATACTCTCTTTTTCCTTCTCCAAATGCACCTTTGAAGAGTTGCCATTTTCATTAAGCCCAAGGACCTGGTACTTGTGTAAACATAACTGTTTTAGCATAATGACTTTTCAGTCATTTTTCAGTTGCAGTAACAAACACAGATGCTTCTTTTTTCCCATTATTGAAAACCAAATCCACAAACCACATTGGAACTTGTTCCTAAAGGTGGACTTTGTAGAACAGAGATACAAGGAACAGACAGAGAACAATACATCATCATTAGTCATGTGAAATTTTTACACCTTGGAGAAATTCTTTCTACAAGGTTAAGGAACCATCACTGAATAGGCCCAATAATCTCTATAGATCTGGATGTGGCACAGTTGGTAATAGTGGCTGAAATTATGTCAATCTTGAGAAATTGTTTCACCATTGATGCATATCTGTAATTCTAACCTGCTCACATCTGTACTGTCTTGCATTGGCTGCATTGCCTCTCACAATACATGCTTCTCCACTTCTGGTTTCCTGACTAGTATTGACATAACTTTGCTACATCTCCAACTCTTCAGCTCTGACTTCTTTTCCTGTCTTTTATTCTAAATTCATCTAAGAACAAAGATGATGAGTAGATTCACTAACCATTTCTCTTCTGGTTGGAATAACATGCTGAACTAGGAACAATCTAGAAACTTTCTCTGATTGGATCATAA